AATGGGGAAAAAATAAGAACTAAGATACATCCTGTACAGGTACAAGTACCCAATGATAAATGTAAATGTATTGTATACCTAAAATGTACCAATAAAAGAATTTAAGCAAAAAAAAGAATTAAAAGCATCATACCACAGCAATATATGCACACCCATGCTTATAGAAGCACAGTTTGTAATAGCTAAATCTTGGAAACAGCCTAAATGCCCATCAACTGGAAACTGGATAAAGAAGATGTTGTGTTTTTTTTTATAAAATGGAGTACAAAAGGAAAAAATGGACACAGTCTTTGTAAATAAGGAGGGGTGGAGGGGTTGAAGGGAGGGCAGGAGAATGGGGAAAAAGTAAGAATTAAGATATTCCTGTAAAGGTACAAATTCCCAAGTATGAATGTCATCATTTTGTTTACCTAAAATGTACCAATAAACTTAATGAATAAAAAAGATAAAAAATTTATAAAGCACTTTTCTCATATTTTGACTGGAGTTACAATTCATTTAAAACTTTTGTGGATAGTTCAATCCCCAGTACAAAGAAAAGGTGAAAATTTACTAAAATTTGGAATTTGCTGAGTGTGGCTATGTGACATTCATTAGACAATTTGACAAATGACTGGCTTAATTCTTACCTTTCATATGGATGTGCAGGCACCATATGAACATAACCTGAGATTTAATTTCTTTATTCTTAAAATGCAGACAGAAATGTTGTAAAATCTCCTTTGATTTTTATTAGGTTTACAGTTTTTGATATTGTTTATTTGAAAGCTGGATACTTCTTTCTAGTCAATTATTTGCAGTCTTCCATTGTTTCTATTTTCAGAACTTGTATAGAAAAGAGAGAGCATAAGAGATTTTTTTTCAAAATATTAGGCAGTTTTGTAGTCAGGGTTAGAAAAGTTGTCAGGTCCCTTGCCATAAAAGTCTTTAAAAACTAATAAAGTAGTTTATAATTTAGTAAATATTGATTTTGTTTTTCCAGCTATTCTAAACAATAATGATTTTATTTTAAGTTAAATATATTTAAAACTTAGTCTATTTAACCATTAATTTCATCTATGTATGTAAATATACTTTAAATTTCTTACAATACAAGATTAGGTTTTTTTAAATTCAGAGTGAAAGGAGTTTTTGTTATAATTCTAAATTTTATATCTATAATTCAATAGCATTGAAAAATTCAAAGTAAGGCTTGAATTTGACTTGCAAAATACACTGCATACTAAGTAGAATCCTGAAATATCTAATTAAAAAGTCTGGGTAATAATTTGTAATTGAAAGGAGGACATAGCCTTTTGTTTTTTGGGTTTTTTTCGGTACCAGGGATGGAACTCCGAACCTTCCTCTAGCAAGGCAGGTGGCGGCACCACTAAGCTAAATCCCCAGTCCGACATAGCCTTTTACTAAAATTGTAGAACACTGAGTAATTAAAAGCCAATCTTTGACCCATAAACATGGTATTATAATTTGGTTTCTGTTAATGTTTGCAATTTAATGAAATATTTTTCTCCTACTGTTAGTTCCACATTGGACAACAGACTGATATTAAGTATAAATTTATAATGGAAATGACTACTGTATATTTTTCATTTTTAGTAGGTAAATACTAAAAGGAAGATGTTGTGTTTTATTATTTGTTTATGCTCTATAAGGGGAAAATCGTCAATTATATATGCCTTATGTGTGTCACTGTAGTTTCACCTTCTGTGTGGTGTAAGTCACTATATGAATCTTGTCAAAACAGAATGATATGACACGTCTAACTTAAACTTCTAAACACATTCCTGGCTTTGCTTGACCTACTCTGGGATTTCTCGAACATCCCACATGTCATCATACTCTGCTCCTTCCGGAACCTCTTCTGGATTCCAGATGTCCTCGCTGTTTTCATCACTGGTTTGAGGGATGACTATAAAGAAAGAGAATGTTAAGCTGAAGCTGTTGATTGTTTTCCTCCTCTAAATGGCTCATGTTCTCCACACCATTTGGGGATAATTGAAATAAAACATGCTCTATTTGTATCATTAGCTTGGTCTTTTAGTCCAAACAGACTAAATTAGTAATAACTGACTAAATATTATCAATATAGACCAATACATTGTGGAATTATAATAACTGAAGATAAAAACCACACAAGAAAAAGATGACAATAAGATAATCTACAATCCAACTGTCTGGAAATAATCAATGTTGGCATTCTGGCAAGAGAAATCAGCAACAGAGCTAAGAGACAACCTACAATGTGGGAAAAAAATCTTTACCAGCTGTTCTTCAGACAAAAGTCTACTATCTAGAATATATAAAGAACTAAAAAAAATCAGACCCCCCCAAATATAAAGACCCAGTTCAAAAATGGGCATCTGAAATGAACAGACATGTCTCAGACTAAGAAGTAAAAGTAGCAAATAAACATATGAAAAAATGTTCAACATCACTGGTCATTTGAGAGATGCAGATGCAAACAATGCTGAGATTCCACCTCACCCCAGAAACAGTGACTGCTATCAAGAAACCAATAACTAATGGTGTTTATCTTTCTGTTCTCTCTCTCTCTCCTTCCTCCTTTCTATCTGTCTCTCTGTCTCTCTCTATATATAAAAATATATCTCTCTATATAAAATGTATCTTTCAGAAACAAAGAAGATTATATTTAAAATACTTTTATACAAAAGAAAATATCAAACAATCTGATTTGGATAGGAATATGTTATCTTGTATTTTGCTTTATTATATAAAAACCTTTTGATATCTTTTTATGCAAGCATGACATTTAAAACAAATAATATCAATTAAAGAAACTAAAATCAATGGATACAATGATTATTTTTTAAGCCAGTATTTTCCTCATGTACACGGGAGCTTTAAAGAAAATCTCTATCACTCGTCCTTTATACAACATCAAGCAGATGCTTGGATTTCTATAGCAATCTTTAAATGTTTAAAAGTAGACAAATTCCAGTAGGCATGCAAAAACTCAGCTTGCATTTGTTCTATTGTGGCATCAAATGGAAACCTGCATTAGGTGCAGAACAATGAGTCCTTTCAAGCATTCCCAGAAATGTCCCTGATTGTCAGCTTTTCAATTCTAATTCTTTTAAAATTATCTGTTTTTATCTAGCATAGGCTTTCTAAAGCCTAAGTACAGATTTATGTCTAACATTTTACATATGACTCACTACTCTCAAAATCCAGTGATTATTAGAGCTGTATTATGGGATGGGAACTATGGTCAGCACAGAAATACATCCAAATTTGAACCAGTTTGCCATATAATCTCTCCAGTAAGCCAAATAGCCTCGTGAGTATATGCCACAATAACTGAAATTTTAAAACCATTCTCAGACCTCATTTTAGACATTGTTTTCAACATTTTCCCCAGATAATCTTTCATAATTAGCTAAATTGGTGGACAAAATTCCCTTCCTCTCTCCCTGTCCATCCTCTAGTAACTGTGATCATGACCAATAAAATTAGAGCCTTCTATATTTTTAAACATTGGTAAAATGTTCAAGTCTGTGAAAATATATAGGACAAAATGCTAAAAATCATTAACAATTTTATTCTAGTTTTTTTGACTTGTGATTTTTTTTTAATGGTGATTCTGGGGTTTAAACCTAAGACCTCTAACATTCTAGGGCAAGTGCTCTACCACTGAGCCACATCTCCAGTCCCTGAACCTGTGATTTCTTTTTCAAATAATCCCATCAACTTTAATTCAAAAACATTTCATTGTAAGATAGAATTGTGCAGTGATTTGTTTTATTATCTTGTCCAAAAGTCTATAGCTCAATCAGACCAGGAATTCTTTCTATTTTGATCATCATTATAGTCCCAGTGATAATCATACTTTGCGGTACATAATAGGTTCTCCATAATTTTCTTCTTTTTTTTTTTTTG